GTATTGAGAAATTCCATTGTAAGCTGTGAAGTTTTACTATGTAAAATGACATTGTTTATTCTTGTTTTAATAGCGAAAAAAAAAAAAAAAAAAAAAAAAAAAAAAAAAAAAAAAAAAAAAAAAAAAAAAAAAAAAAAAAAAAAAAAAAAAAAAAAATGGGGGGCGCGGAAAAAAAAAAAAAAAAAAAAAAAAAAAAAAAAAAAAAAAAAAAAGTTTTAAAAAAAAAAAAAATTTTTTAAATAGTATAAAAAATGTTATTATTTTTCACATTATTTTGTTTGCGACTTCACATATTTTTTTTTAAATAGTGGGTCTTGGCAGATATACAGATATTGATTTTAAGCGCACAAACTCAAATACGATTTTTCGTAGTTTAAAATTATAATACTGTTTTAGAATTATACAGTATGTTCTTAATTATAATATATATGTAAATCTGCTCTTTCTCTTCACAAAAGGCGGATGCAATAGTAAACAGTGTAATTATTTAATTAGAAATATGTTTTGAGCAAAGTTTCTTTGAGCATAGGGAGAAAAAAAACACCATTTCAGGGTACATAGTTCACTATAATAGTACTTAGAAGACCTTGTTACCCGAGGTGTAAGTACTAACAAACCTGAAGCCAGCGACCCCTTTTGCCACAAAATATCGACATAATTAGTTAATTAACGGAATATAATTGGAATTCCGGAGATTACAGCGACATCCGCACTAAAAGCAACTCTGTGTCGCGCTGGGGGGCGCCACATTCGTTGTGATTAACGCTGCGCGCGCGCGTGTTTCGTTTAATTAGCCCTTATACACGTTCACACTCGCCTAAAAAGGCGATCTCAGTTAGTAGTTGCACCTTCGTTCGACGGTATTTAATGTCTCTTGTGTTTCTTAAGTTAGGTCATTACTGATCCCAAATATTTTTCATGTTTTTTCTGAAAGCATAAATAAAGATAATAATTATGTGCGTTTGGTCTGTCTTAGTCATTACTAGCTGACTTATACTATCACGGACACTTTTTTAATCACTTCAAGAGGAATCATTAATTCCTGCATATTTTTTTGGTATCTTGAACCGTTTTTGCAGCGCACGCAACGAAAACCTTAAAAGATGAATAATCCCCCCTTTTTCCAAATCCCTTATTTTCTTCACTCCATTCCATATTTCATAGCCTTCCTCGATAAATAGTCTATCCAACACAAAAATAATTTTTAATACGAATCATTAGTTCCTGAGATTACCAAATACAGACAAATAAACTCTTCAGCTGTATAATATTAGTATAGATATCTAAACTTAAATCCAAGTAACCATTAATTATATCTAGTAGATCAAAGTTTGGCTAATGTTAAGATTTTTCAAACATTGGATCAAAGTTGGGTTGGTGGGCTATTTAAATTAATACGCATATATTATTTAATTATGAGACTATGGTCGTCGTTGGTTTAAAACCGATTTCAATAACTGACTACTAGCGCCAAAATAAGTCTAGCCGTTTTAGAACTACTCAGAACAAATAAACACAGCTTGCAAATTTTATTTAACTTATGTATCAAAAACGTGATTCCATGTACCAGGAGAGCAAAAACGGAAAGAACACAATTGTAAGACGGTAGCGATTCATACGTTTTGTTAAAACGAAAAATGCACGAACAATGTCTGCAGCCTTTTTAATGCGAAAACAATCGCTCCCGACTTAGGAATTTATGTTACAATTATTAGGCTGTACTTTCAACTTTACTCCTTTGTAATAGGCGCGTCGAAGATAGCGATATTGTGGACACGAACTGGTCCCGGATTGATCGCATCAGCTGTCCGTCCGTCCGTCTCGTACTTCGATACGACCTTAATTTATGTATCGACTGTTATTTTGACATGGGATATGTTAATTAGTGTAATTGCGCGACACATAGCTACTTGTTAGCGGGGAAAAAATCAATGTATTTTCTAGAAGAGATAATAAACGATACTTGTTAGTATTAACTAGTGGATGTTTGTTGTTTGTGTTTTTTTTCTCATTAAAAGTGCTTATACTTAACAAAATTAGACAGCGCACCATTCTTTCGAGTTTGGTAAAATTATATTGACAACAAATTTCACCAATATCGGTTAATCTTTTTGGGCGTCGAGATAGGTACCAAACGCTTCCTTAACAACCTTTGTGTGAATTTTACACATAAGTTTATTATCGATGATTGGATTTCTTTTAATCTACAAGTTATAATTTAATAAACAAAACGTTTATTTTTGTTAATTTTAACTTTGTCACTATCTGGTCATGACTCACGACCTCTAATCAGCTTGCGACACGTCGAGTCTTATTTGAAAATAATTGTACTCATATATCTATTAAATAATCGTTAATACTGTTATATTAAAGGCTTAAACTAGAGAATGGTCCTGAATACAATATAGATATATATAATCCCTATTTAAAGTTGTTTTTAAGATTAAGCTATATGTATTTAGTAGGTAACCCTGTCTCTTTGAAATAAGCAGACAGAGATAACTGTTCATTTGTTCTTAAGCCCTAGTACATATTATACTACATAGCACTAATTAAACTAGGTTCCAAATGTATCCGAAATTCCAGGGTTCGAGCCCCGCCTCCGAAGGTCACCGCGTAATTAACGGTCCCTCAAGCAATCAAAGTTGGTGTATCGGGATTGGTTGCAATCGTATTGGCCTTTGGGACCAGGATCCGGGATCAAAGGATGTCAAATGGAATATTTTACTCGTTTGAAGTAGGGTATTAGTATGTTTTATTGGACGGTCAAAGATAATGTAAACCAATAGTGGAAATGTCTTCAGAGATTCGGCTAGATCTTCTAAAAGACAAGCATGGGGCTCACTCGATGAGAGATAAATCTATGATGCGCTATATACCTATTTTAGATATTCAGATCCAGATATTTCAGACGCTGTCTAGTAAGGACCAGAAAAATATCATATTGAAACTAATATTTTTAGAAACATTTCGAATCCAGTGAGAAAGAATCAAACCCACGCCCCGTGGATTATCAGCCATTCATTGCTATCTATTCTTCTGTACTTGGTGGACATTGTTCTTAGATGATTGAAAGAGGAATCATTCTTTAATACACATTTTTTTAGGTATCTTGAACCGCTATCGCAGGGTATGCATCTGAAACCCACAGAGGTAAAAAAATCCCCCGTTTTGTTCCCATTTCCCGCTGTATCTTCGCTTTTATCAATCACATCGCGATGTTTTAGAGCCTATGTCTTCCTCGATGAATGCTCTAACTAACACAAAAATACTTTTTCAATTCGAGCCCCTAATTTCTGAGATTAGCGCGTTCAAACAAACAAACAAACTCTTCAGCTTTGTATATTAGTATACATTACTTAAAAGCAATTCCCTCCATAATTCTTGCATCATAAGTCAAATCTTTCACCACGGCAGACCCTAAATCCCCCAGAATCCGTAAAAACCCGCGAAAATAACGCCACAATTCGAAATAATTAATTTTCAGTTCTCATCGCGTTATAAATCGTTTCATTCGAATCGGAGGAACAGCGATTCTGGAAACGCTGTTGTCTCGCTTACACCTATTAAATTTGCATAATATCATGTCACCTGTCCTTTTCGCATCGCAAATGATTCCCGGCATCCAGCTTGTCACTAATCAGGTGCCTCGGAATACGGTATTGCAAATTGAACCTTATGATTGAATAATAGAGATGAACTTTCAACGTTAATGCGTCATAGAGGGTCGTAAGTTGGTAAAGTTTTGTGAAATAATTTCGCGCAGTTGGCGAGGTAGGGAGGTTCGTCCACTTGTCGACTCGCAAGTCGTAACACAGATAAGATAGAAACGTACTTAATCTTCAGATAATACAAGAAATATAGCGTAGGGTTGTAATAGGCTTGTTTCGTTGGTCGGAGATGTTTGAACGGATAGTTCATAAGAAGATATATACTCTGATGAGTTGTTAAATGTTAAGTAAAATGTAGTCTGTTTCAAGTTATTGGTGTTTTTGTTATTATTTAAATAAATTAACAACATGGGTTATTTTTTTATAATATTACGTGTCCATATGGGTAACGTAATACAATTTACAAAAAAGCAAATCTTATTACAATATTTCCTAATGAGATCCGAGCATATTTGCAAAATTTCATTAAAATAAGCTAAGTAGTTTAGGCACAAAGCCAGTTTTTGTAATTACCAAAAAACATAGTTACATGCATTAAAATAAATAACAAAGATTGTAACTCCGAAGTGCGTTGTCATTTGGAAAAATAGAAGTTGTGGTAAAATTCATTGACTTTTCTGTATTTTGTATAAACAATTTACTTCCTTAAATTTGATCGAAACCGCTTTAGTTAACATTAATGTTATAAGTCTAAAGGCATCTGTAGGTATATACACAATCTATATATCTACATAAATACGCGTATTTAAATTAAATATAATAAAAATTAGTTAACTTCAACCTTTTAAAACAGGGTTTTGAAAGGTGTTTACGCGTCTCCATTGTCTAGTCATGATCGTAGGTCATTAGCTGCCAAGATGGCCAACGGGTGTCCGGTTCCGGTATGGCGCCACTGCCACTTCCGGTCTCAGCCGTGACGTCATAACCGGCTTAACATAAAGGATCGTTACTTTATACTACTCGGGGCTTATGTATTTTGTTTATATAAGTTAGATTTTGTAAACTAGTGTACGAAGATCAATAATTAATTTACATAAGAAATAAATATTTAGTTTTGTCATTGTGTGGCAGTACTATCGAAATTCAATCCGCGTCACGCACCACCGTCCTCAGATGAAAAAGCCGCGAAGCTTAATCACGTTTCGATTTCAGTCTGTAGATTTCTGAATGTCCAAAACTAAAATAGGTCGACAGCACAACTTTTTAAAATATATTATGACGTACCTATCATCAAGATAACACCATGCAATCCTACTTTATTATTAAAAACATAGTAATTTTCTCTGTATCGATAAAACCTCTTATACAGACTGGAATAATGTTTATTCTTTACAGAGCTCTCGCTACGACACTAAGAAGAGAGAAACACGGAGCTTTATTTTCGCAGCGTATCTGTGGCACGACAAGTGTCACTCGTAAACACTCGAACCAGTCGTTAGCGAAGAAGCAGTCAGAATCATCATCAATGGCATAAATCAAATTCCCTTTGATTCGGAGCACAGCAATATGAACTGGTGCAGAGAAAGTGAGGGTGCATCCGATGAATATGTATGAGGTTCCGGGGGGAGCCGGGGGGTGGATGGGGAGCGCCGTGTAAATGGAAATTTCAAATAAAAACGGCTCAAATATTAACATGAACTGGATCCGTGTTTTTCGCCGCTTTCCTCGCTTGGACACGAGTGATAACGCCGGTAATAAAACTCAACTTTTTACTCGACTCACTGAGTTATAACTGCTGATTTGAGTGTTTGCGCCGGTTTAATTGTGACCCGTGTAGCGCTTTTTTTGTTACAGAGCACTTGTTAGTTTCATCCGGGTAATTGGTGTTTGACAATATCATGTCAAAACGCAAACTTTGAAAGTGTAGTTGAACGACTTGAAAATAAAAATCACATATATAATATATCGCTTTTAACTACGCATTCTTGTCATTAACTTTTTTCGAATATATTCTTTGAAACAATATCTCCGATGACATAGATTTTTTATATTTCCAAGAAGACATACATTTATATATTTTACTCGTATACGCACACTAACTAGACAATTAAGTAAAAGTAAACGCCTAGAAGTCTTGTAATTTGAAAGAAAAGAAACAATTAACTTATAGTCCTCGTTACCTTTTGCATATGAACTTAACTACATAAAAAGTTCGAAAACTAAGACGAACAAGAAATAGGCATTATATACATATAAAAAGTAGAACCAAAATATAAATAAATAACATACACGCCATAAATACTAGTTATAGAGGAATTTCTGTTGATTTTTTACATAAAATTCCGGACTCGCGTTCCAAACAAAAATTAACGTTATATTTGGTTCTAATGACGTAATTAAAATCGCTATAAATAGTTAACAGCTTACGTTATAAGTACCGTAACAAAAACGTCCACGAAACGCACATGACGATAAAATCGCCTGGCGTGTTAACGCGTAAAAATAATGACCGGTCTAATTGCTGTGCCAATTATGAACACGATCGACGACTACGTTTTCGGTAAATATTTAGGCTGTGTCAGGTAATTTCAGAAAAGTTTTACTAAAACAAACTGAATCATTATGCGAATGTGTGAAGGACGTTTGGATTTGGAACAAAGGGATAAATACTGTGTGTAGTTTTTTTACTATTATATTTACATAAAACATCTTTAAACGGTTATTGTCGGAACGTAGTTTAATAATTTCAAATATATTTAAGAATATAACGCGTTTTAATTAGTTGTATTTAAACAATGATATAACTTAGTTGTATAATAATGTCTAACTAGTTTAATCGGTTCAAGTATGGTCTGTAGTTCGCGAAACGTAAGTGATATAACCTTCGTAACCACTGTATATTTCGTTTTATTTAATATTATTTTTCTTCTCTAGATTAGCACAGACATCTTAATTAAGTTACTTTGTTGTTTTACTACATAACCTATGAGTAATAATATTAAAACTAAATTGATAATTCTTAACTGCAATTTATTACTTACTATATATTTTACAAAGCTTACTTTTCTGTAATGTCTGTAAATTATTTACAACTAGTAGAGTAGATCATAGATCGGACTTTCAAAAACAGAAGTTGGTTCGAGTGTCGAAATTTGTTCCGCATCATCAAAAGAGTTTTTTTAGCATCGAAGGCCTGTATTTTATCTCCGCAACGAATCTAGAAGTGTATACATTTGAGATTATTTATGTTCGTTTATAAGTGGATAATTTATTATATTTAGCATTACTTCGATTAATCTCGAAGTATGAAGTAAGAATTTGTTTTTTTTCATACAGATAAGCAAGGATGTCTCCAGCCATATATGAGGCTGGTAGAGGCAGAATGGCCTAATAACAAAAAACATGATTTGTAATAAAGAGAAAAATAAAGATGCGTAATTAAGTTAGGCAATAATGAATTTGTACTATTATTTGTGTAAGAATTATGTTAACAATTTTCGGTCACTGTGCTCTTGTAGATTAACATTTTTATACTATAAAAATATAAATAAGTCAAGCCATAAAATTGCAGTTAGGCTACTCTGCCTCTAGCGGCCTCATATATAAAACCTAACGTATACAACACCACAACAAAATGTGCTGTCAACGTGGCTCGATATAAGGACAATATAAAGACTGATACAGAAACGCGATTCTAATTTCAAGTCTTTCGTTGCGGTTTTCGTGACCCGGACGGAATTTCGATATTCCTACTCCTCCATTTAATACACCGTTAAAATTTTGTGAGTATTAGATGTGTATTGTTACACACCAAGTTTAATTCAAATAATTATAAGTTATTTAAAGTGTGTGTATAATAATATAATTTAATTCCCTCTGTGACCAGAGATATTGCAAAGCACCCGAATTGTCGGGCCATACTTTAAAATAAGTACGGTTACGTTTTATCGTCCAATAAGATTTATAACATAACTTATATTCTAAGTTATAAACCGTTAAAAGTGTTTTTTTGACAAAAATGGCCTTCGCTTGATGTAAGGTGGAATACCTCAGGCATATAACATTTAAAGATGCGCTATCGACCTATTTTGGCTTCGGATATTTGGTATATAAATAAATACACGGTTACCGAATCGCGATTAAACTTCACGACTTTTTTATCTGTAGACAGTGATTCGTGACTCGGACAGCATTTCGATATACCTGTTAATATCTAGATTTTCAGACGATGTTGGACTTTGTTTCAGAAGAAATATAAATTCATTAGAAAAATGATGGACCTGGTGGGCCATTACACCATCAGGCTAGTCAAAAGCCCGTGTTTTATATAAATGTGTACTATTCGCGTAAATCAAGGACATTGTGTACATAATGTATATTTTGAATATTTTATAATACAATCTTCGATTTAGTGTCGTGAATAAATTGCACTAGCGCAAAACAAAATAGCAATTACGCTGTCAAAATCAAAAATAGAAAGATAATCGAATCATGCATCTCATTATCGCGGTTTTAAATTAAGGGACAGAATCCCTTTCTGTACAGAGCCTTAACTTTTAAGGCTGTCTACATACGATTTGTATACAAATATATTACCGTAAATTGGGTCTAATAATCCGCTTATTAACAAAGTCACTTGTACATTACTTACAAATAAAATAAATGTTAAAAAAGCTTATAGTGAGTAAAGTAAAATTTTAAGCTTTATGACAAGTATGTCCTACCAGATAAGAAAAAAAAGTTGATTTGGGAAAAACACCTATTGAACTAGAAATGAAAATTCAACGACTATTATTATGTTATTTATTTTAATGAGAGTTAGAAATGTAAAGAGATTAAAAATCGATTATGGATTGAAAAAATTACCCCTCGGGCAGGACTTGAACCTGTAAATGCCGGTTGTAGCCTGCCCGTGTCATATTATTTTTTTTGCAATCTAAAATCGAATTTTAAAATTATAAATACCATCATGTGTAAAGTGTTGTAATTTCTGTGCGTTAGATGTTATTTGTAAGAACGTTAAAAATCAAGTCCGTTATTTATGTAGATATATAATATGTGGATGTGTATGGGTGTTCGTGATAGTTAAGAACTTGTATTATTTAGGATTTAAGTGAAACAGAAGAAATAGTAATTAAGTAAAGTATAAGATTTTAATATATAAATATTAAGTTTATTATAGCTTCGTCTATAGCCAGCCTTACAACGAAATAAAGGATAGGGGATTCCGTTTCACTACAGTTGAGAAGTAATACCTATCGAATTGTTAACCGAATTTCTTATTAAAGCGTAAGGACATAGGGTGCAATTTGGTGTGCTCACCTCTGATCCACTATGAAAAGACTGCGGTTCACCAGAGCTTGTTTTTAGTGAGAGGCGTCGGGGTGTATGATAGGATTTGATGGAAGTATGAACTAATCTCCCTCTCTTGATAACTCAATATCGTGACATAATGAGAGCCTTTGATGCTCTGTCCCTCGCGAGGTGTCGCAATTCTAATTGTAGATAAAAAGATAACTTTGACACGACTATGGGATATCCACGGGCCAACATGTTTCCAATGGGGTTCCGTTTGATCTTTATCAGTGGAGAAAAAATTGTGAACGTGCTTCAATACACGAAGTTTGTTTCCATGGAGATTTGTGTATGAATAACTAGTTGTAAGCCACTTTGGTAGATTTGCGTTGTTTGAGCCTCGACCTAAAAACCATTTGTACACTTTTTTTATTATTTAAAGACGAATCATTATTTCTCCATCTTGAACCATTTTTGTAGCGTACGCAACGGAAACTCACAAAGATAATAATTAATAATTTTCCCACCTTTTTTCAACATTTTCCGCTATATCTTTGGTCTTATTAGTCGTAACGCAATGTTTTAAAGCCTATACTCTAATGCCTTTCTCGATAAATGCACTAACTAACACAAAAATATTTTTTTCATTTCGCAACCAGTAGTTAGCGCGTTCGAACAAACAAACTCTTTTGTTTTATATGCCAATCAGTGTAGGTATGAAATTAAAGACTACTTTTCTTTTAATATATCATGATAAATTTATACATTTTATCACTGCCTTGAAGTTTGTACGTTATGATAGAAGGGGACAGACAAACATGCAAATAGCATCGCAATACAAATCGAAAAATCTTAAAGAAAAGTGAAATACCCCAGGTATAAAGCATCTAAATGAGATGCGCTGTCGGCCTATTTCTTCTTTGTATATTTGCAAAACGAAAGACTGAACTTTATTTTAATTATAGTAAACTACAAACATTGCTCACTATATATCTACACTTATGAATAATAAGTGTAGTTATAAAGTAAGTATTATTTTTATCTAGGATTTAATTCAACCAAGACATTCATAACCTTATCAAAAAATGAAATCTAAATTAAGTCACAACCTGTGACCATTCTGCTGTTGACAGGGACAAATCAGTAGATTACGGTCCACATTTTATTCTGACAGTTTGCATAAAATGACCATCGATAATTTATGACTCAAAATATTTTCTTTAGGTTATCTGTTAAATAAAAAAATTGTTAATTATTCCAAAATGTGCAATAACTTGATATTTATATTTTCAAACAGATTTTATAATGCAATTTTTTCAATAAGTTTACAATCAAAATCTAACCTGCCTCTGTTACAAGCGTTACGCTTACGTTTTTTTAAGTAGGTACGTGCAGATTTT